ACACCACCTTTATTTATTTTTTACTAAAGTAATGATTTTGTATGATCACTTATAATTAATAAAATTTGTAACACATATAGAGTTTGGAGTAAAGTTATCTACTACAAAGCTTTCCTTATTTATCAAACTCGAAATTTCTACCATGAATCTACCCCTATTTATTGATCGTCTTATATTTTATCGATTTTCTATAAATAAATAAAAAAGAGAGTATAATTTAATTAAAAAAAAATATTTAATGAGTCATAAAATTAATTTTCTTTTTTGATAAGTTCTTTTTTCTTTTTAATTTTTTTAATCCAAAATGATCTGTCTATTTGGTACAGCTTTAACCAGGGAGTAGTTCAGAAATTCACATGAAAAATCCAGACAGTTATAGCTTTTATCTGAAACTGATCCAAACAACAAGAATTTTCATGCATTAAATTTTTGTACTGTTGTCCTAAGTCACGTGACACTTGTATGAACACGTGTATTCCATTAATACCAACCCCCACCCCTCTTCATCAAGGGCGGATCTAAGATGGGGAAGCAAGTTTTCGGAAACTCAATAATTTTTTTTGAAGTTTTAGTATTTATATTAAGAAATTTATTAAAATAAAAGATTTTTTTGTTGGAAATCTACTGATAAAGTAATTTCTTGGTTTCACTACTAAGAAAATATTATTTCTTATTGAAAAATGTTTAGTAACTATAGAAATATTTGAATGAATTAGTGAAAAAGAAAAAAAAATGAATAGTTATTTCTAATATTTCAATGAAAATCTATTTTTCACCATGTGATTATCCGATGAGCTGGTTCAATAGGACTAGGGTGAAAAAATCAAATTTTGTAACATAAATTTTATATTGATTCACAGTGGAAAAAAACCTATGTTTCTAGTAGTGTCTGGTGGTAAAATGAAACTTGTTCAGGTTTTGTTACTCTCCTTGTTGAGGATTTGATTCCTCTTTGGCATATATAATTAAGAAACAATACATACTTTGAAATCCCGAGAACCTATAAATTTCAATGTTTGGACCCACACTTTTGTTGGGAAAAAAATCTTATTGAAAATGCTAAACTGTCTCTAAAAATGAACTCTACAATATTCAAATATAATTTAATCAGATCACAACGCGAATAGATTACATTTTTTTATGGAGTAGTGACTTAGTGTTTCATATGATTAGAGTGAATCTAAATAAAGTTAATAACAAATCAAAAGATTGATTTTGGTTTGTGAAATGGAGATCAAAAATAGGATAATCATACAAGTTTTAATTATGACAATTTTATTTTGTTCTTGGGGAAGTGGTACACAACAACACGCATTGTCTAGTTGAGTGGATGCACTCTATGAATAATACATCCACTTTAATTTGTTGAGTTATATTAGGATTGTACACCATTTTGTGGAACCATTTAAAATGACGTGTAACCATAATTATCTTTCACATAACTTATAGGGCAATGAGCTCCATCTGAATATTAAGATGAAGTGACAAAGTCAGAATTTTTTATCAAGATAAAATTTATTTATATATAAGAAATTTGATCTTGTAAATATAGTATATTACAAAAAAAAAAATTATGAAGGGATTTGAATAAACTCCCTTTGACTTACTGACTAGATCTATTCCTAATAAAGTTAGAATTTTTCATCAAGATCAAATTTATATACATATAAGAAATTTGTTCATGTATATATAATATATTATAGTTTTTTGATGAATGGATTCGAGTAAACCCCTTTCGACTTACTAACTTTGTTCCTAATGACCATTGTGAGTATGGGTAGTGAAGAGAAATTTAGTTATGTGATAAAATGGAGAGATTAATTTTTCTCTATTTGATTTTTTATAAATAATGGTACCTAAAAGGGGATTGTGTCGATCAAAATTCTAGAAGGTCAAATCTAAACCTTAAATCAACAATTAAAAAAAAAAATTAATTTATCCTTCCTACTCGTTATTATAACCTTGGGTGATTGTGTATATAAGTTTAAATCTTATAGAAAACGATAAATTAACTCACCAAATTCATCAATTGAATAATTAACTCATCAATTGCTTATTTGATTTTGACTTCCCCCACAATTTTAAAAAGTAAAATATTTTTTAATCTTATAACCTCAAACATGCAATGTAAAAAATTAAATTTAAAAATATTATAAAAAAATATTCAAACTAACAAAACAAATAAACTGAAACAGAAGAAGTAATTAAAGATGAAGAATAAATAAAAACATGGGAATAATCTCAACCATAAAAAGTCTAAATCACCTCAATGTGACACAAATTAAAATGTCAATCATGAAAAGAAGCACAGATAATTAAAAAGATGCGGCATCATGAAAATGTTGCTTAATTAGTGTAGTACACTTCTTCACTGTATATTATGAACAAAAAATAGTGTAACATTTGTCCTATATATATTACTCAAGTCCTAATCAAGAAAATTGTAAATCACTTCCTTTTTAATTGCTTACATTTATTAGGACAAACAAAAATTTGACAAGTGTTTGTAAGATACTAATTCAATATATTCTTTTTATTTGAAAGTTGATTTTTAATTATTTTTTTTATCTTGTTTGATATTCATATTACGATATCACTATATTTGAATTCGTATACTACTCATTTCTGAATACATGCTTCAGATATGATTTTTTTCACGTCGTAGCTCAAACCCAATCTTTAGCTATATACAAGAAAGATGCTCGTTCATTTTCTCTTTGTTTCCATACTTCCTAATTTCTTGTCTGATCTTACCTTTTATTTATGATTTTAATAAGTTATAAATATTATCAGTATAAAATATTTTTTATATCATCAATTTGGATATTTAAAAGATATTTATAAGTGTTTTCTTTAAAATGTGTGATTTATAACATTGAAAATAAGATAAAAAAATTTAATAGGCAAACCACATTCATAAGAATGCTCATTCATTTTTCAATATTCTTTTTTCTAGAATTGTCTAATCTTGCCTTTTGCTTAAATCACATCCATGGTTGCCTTTTAAGGTTTCAAAATTATGCTTTTGTTCTTCTTATTCATCCTCATCAAAAAATACCTAACACCCAAAAGCATTTTTTTTCTTAAAAGTGAGAGAATAAACCCCATTAATTCTTTACTCTCTTTTTTTAACTCTTTAATAGAATATTTCAAAGTTATTCTATATTTAAAAAATAAAAACGAAAAACTATATTTAAGGTATGACATGACATAGAACAACTGCCAAATGCTATCACAAACATGTCCATTTAATATAAAACTATTCATTTCACAAAGTTCATGAATCAATCTACTTTATAAAGTTTTGATTAAACCTTAGTGCAAAAGAAAAAAAGTTATCTTGATCTTTACGTGGTAAATGGTTTGAATAGTCATCTCTTAGTACAATTCAATGGATGGATAAAAAAAAAGAATACTACTAGAGTTATATTTTGCATACATGCATGTCATTTGGACTTCATTTATTGATGTATGAGATTGGAAGAAGATTTGATGCTTTCAAGTGAGAATTAGATTCAGGATTCAAATTGGGAATTGCTAATTTATCAAATATAAAATTAGCTCAATTTCATAACAGAGGCATATCCAGAGTTTAAATATAATTATGCGGATAATAGTTATTCCGTTTTTTATCTTACAAAAGATTATACACCAATTCCCTCATAACTAAAACATGCAGAATGCGGGTTATGAATAAGCAGCTTCTTTGCTAGTTATCAAAGACCCCTATGGACTCAATATTTGAGTTCTTATCACTAATTAAACTCATGACACATTTGAAATTATAATATATATATTTTATTTTTTTTCATATGTTAATCTATGGTTAGTGTTGACATGATTACCTTATCTTATGCCATGGGTATCACCAATTTTCTAGACTTCGATAAATTTGCATATGTAGCCACTCTTACCAACAATTTTCACTTTTTTTATTATTAAGTAGTGTAGGCTTCGATCAATTTGTATAGTGATTCTCACCAACAATCTTAGTGACCTCT